CTATTCCAACATTGGTGAAGTGCCCAGTTCCTCTACTTAAGGCGGTGGCCTGGCATTTCCCCTCCTCTGATTGCACCTTTTCTTTGAGTCAAGATTTAAACTGCTGCTGGGTTGGGGTACTCAGACCCCAAATGAGCAATTTTGTCTTGTATGTCTTACAATACTTGCATCTGCCTGTGAAAGGCTTCCTGGTGATTGTGTTACTGAGCTTGTTTCATCAAGAAAGCACCAGTCTTGTTGCAAACAGGTTCCAAGATTCAGTCAGCCAAAGGCGAAGGGAATCTCAGTCCTGGTCACCACCTGCTTCCCATAAAAGCGTGAGGAACCTGCACTGACAGGAATCTCTCACTAACTCCCTGCTCTCTCCTTTTGTCTTCCAGGTCATTTCTCACTATCAGTGCAAAGAACAACGGGATGTCCACAGGTTTGAGAAGATCAGCAACATAATAAAGCAATTCAAGCTAAGCTGCAGGTGAGCTGGGTGCAGCATTGAGTGGGGAAGATCCCTCAGCAGGTACTGCAGTGTTCTCCAGTCAAGCAGAGGCTCTCCATACTGATAAAAGTTCTGTGAAATGCAGTTAAATTGCACCCTGCTTCAACACTGAGTTAATCGTTGTCCTTTGTGACTTCCTCCTTTGCTGCTGGTTGAAAGAGGTTTGGTTGGAAACCCATTTTCTTCTCCTCCTGGGCAAGGCAGGGAGGTTCCAGGACTGAAGTGATGATAAACTGCTGACAGTCAACTCGGGTGCTGCTGTGGGAGGAGAAGGTTTGCAAACGCTGTTTATTGATGTTTTGACTGGACAAGTGGGAAGTCTCTTGGCTTTTGAACCTCCTCCAGGTCTCACAGGCTGTTGGTAGTATCTGCAAGCGCTTGAAGCCTGAGCAGGATGGAGGAGGGCCCTTGTGTCTCACAGCTGTCTGCAGATGCTTCAGTGTTCAACTGTCCTTGTGCATGGCTGAGCTGTCACATCCATGGGGCAAGTGACAGTGCATGGGCACAGCAGACTCTGTGGGGTTGTGTATCTTGAGTTACCTTTGCCATTCCATGTGCAAATCACTTCAGAGTGTTCTCAGCCTAAAGTAGAGAGTATTTTTGTTAAAAGAGAATAAAACCCAACAACCAAACATGTGGTCACACCTGGTGTCCCCTGCCAAGCGGGACTCAAACACTTCTTTGTTACCAACAGCTCATATAAAGGGATGTTTGCTCTGTGGGCACCGAAGCTTATGGATCAGTGCTACAGCAATCAGTCATTTACTCTGGTTTTCCCTTTCTTTCCCTTTTGTCTCCCCTCTCAGTAAGCTGGCAGCTTCTTTCCAGAGCATGGAGGTCAGGAACTCAAACTTTGCTGCTTTCATTGACATCTTTACATCAAATACATACGTGATGGTGGTTATGTCAGACCCTTCCATACGTAAGTTGAAACAAAGATCAAGCCCTTGGCCTGTGTGTGTTTGCAGGGACGGAAAGGTGAATGGGTCTGGTTTAAACTGTGTTTCCCTTGCGAAACAACAGACACTGGGTAAAGCAGAGAACCTGATTGGAATGAAAAGACAGGGAGGGATTTGAGCAGGGGGTGGCTAAAAAAGTGACCACAGGAGGCAAGAAGACGTGTGCCTGGAGAGCTGAGCTGTGTGTTCCTGTGAGTGGAGGGGACTGCTCTAACAGATGTGACCTGATTTAGTAGCTCATGTCTAATAACCTATTTTGGGCTGTTCTCTGGCAGCCCTGGTGATGTTTGGAGAGGAAGCAGAGCTGGATCCTGTTGGAGCTCTTGCTCTCACTGCCTGGACCGTCTTGATGGGCCAATGCTTCTAATTATAGCAGCATCTATTTATCTTAAGGAAGAAGCTGCAGGCGGCAGCGCCAGCCCTTGGGGGCACAGAGGGACTGTTTAACTGTTCACACAGCTCCAGTTGAAACTGCTCTTGAGAGGGTTTGAGGTGCTTGAGAGACACTCTGTGGTGGACACTGTGTGGCTGACACTGTGCTCCAGCCCCCTGCCACGAGCAGGGACACTTTCCACTAGATCAGGATGCCCCAAGCCCTGCAGGCTTTGAGGAGTGGGGTTAAAATAAGAGAGTTTGGGGATGAGGATGTTGCTTTCTCACATCCCTTCTAACTTGTTCCTGTCTCCCCTGTCTGTGCTCTGCCCTAGCCTCTGCGGCCACGCTGATCAACATCCGCAATGCCAGAAAACACTTTGAGAAGCTGGAGAGAGTGGATGGACCAAAGCACAGCCTGCTCATGCGCTGAGCCCAGGCCCCAGCACAAGGGCTCCCGGGGGGAGAAGAGATGGATTGGAACTACTTATTTTTTAGGAGAATCTAATAATGTGGGTGTGTGTCGGGTTTGAGATGAGTTGTGCTGCTTTGTTCTTGCTCCCTTTGACGGTGGACACTAGGCTGGAAACACTGCGGACCTTCCAAAGAGACTTCCCTGGCGTGCATGGGGTTGGGAACCAGGAGGGACAGGGGACATGCTCCTGGTTGGCACCATGCACCCGGCAGAGCTGGTTCGGCTGTTTGGCTCCCAGGTAGAAGTGACAGGAATGGAACAGTCACTGTCCTATTGGCTGGGTCTAGAACACGTTTATAAATTTCTCCTTGTCTTCAAGTCATGAGAATAAATTTTTGCTACCAGGGATTTCGGATCCAAGAGCTTCAGGAAGTGGGATTTCTTCCTTCTGAAACCCTGGCAGGCTGATGCGCGGTAGCTGCGTTCCTCATGGTCAGACTCAAGGCCAGTCCAAAGTTTCATTTAAGATAATGTGTTTGGCACATCAATTCTTGACATTCCTGTCTTGTTTTGTTCATGGTTTATGTGTGCTATTAGCACTGAGCACAGGAACAGGCACTGTGAGTTAGGGGAACCTGTGGCTTGCAGGGTGGCAGCTGATGCTGTCAGCTCTTCCTCATTTTTCTCTCTTGCTGCATCAAATTACTATATAAAAAGGGCAGTGGTGGGTGAGCCTGGCTCCTCTGTTCTCCAGGTGGTGCTTGCCCCCTCAATCCTTGCACACAGGCAAGCTGGGATTGGGGGTCTGCAGATCTGCTGGTGCTCTGTTGGACCTTGGAAGTGGTGCCCCATCCCTGGCAGTGTTCAAGGCCAGGTTGGATGGGGCTTGGAGCAACCTGCTCTAGTGGAAGGTGTCCCTGCCTGTGGCAGTGGTTGGAACTGGGTGAACTTTAAGGTCCCTTCCAACACAAACCAGGCTGGGATCCCTGTCAGAGAGGGGCTTGCCAAGATTCCTATCAATGAATCAGGTGTTTTAGCTTCTGGAGAACTTGTGAATGGGCTGGAGCTGCAGCAGAGGGATTCCCTTTGTCTTCAGTGTTTGCAGATATGGAATACAGTGCTGGTCCTGTTGTGGGAGCAGCAAATCTCAGCCACAGTCACCTCTGTCTGATGTTGGGATGGAACAAGCCGAAATGCGACAACAGTTTCCTCTTGAGGATGCTGCCCCATCACTTGGATGAGGTCAGTGACTTGATGGAGAAACTTCATTTGTTTCTGCACCCTGCCCCTGCCTTTGCCATTGCTGAATGGACCAAGAGGATGCATTGCTGCTGATCTGTGTTCTTGGAGCCTTGGGATCATCACTGAGGGGTTACTGGGGCAGTTGTGGTTTCAGGACAGCAGAAGACAGTTTATGGCCGTGGTTCCAGCACAGACTGAAACACTTTCTGCTGAGAGAACGTTCCCACAGGAGACAGCGCTTCCTGACAAAGTACAGTGGGAAATGCTGCCCATTCCTGTGGATACCAGGAGCTGGTGCTGGGTTTCCTCAGGGAATGCACTTGACCATGTGAAAGTGGGATAATGGCAAGGGGGGAATGAAGCTGATGTCTCTCCAGATGTTGGTCTTACAAACAGACTTACATGTATCTGGCCCTGAAGAGCTGCACATCTTGAGGAGAGGGTAGGGGCACATCCGTTTCCTTCAGGACTTGACTTTGGAACTAGGAGGAGAAGCTCTGTGTCACCTGTCATTAAGATGCTGAATCAATTAATAGAACCCCAGACTGGTTTGGGTTGGAAGGGACCTTAAAGCTCACCCAGTTCCAACCCCTGCCATGGGCAGGGACACCTTCCACTAGAGCAGCTTGCTCCAAGTCCCATCCACCCTCACGCTGACCCTATTTGGGTCACCCATGCTTGGCCCAGTACAGGTACCAGGAAGGAAATGGTTCAAGAACCCATGAGCAGAGAGGGGTTTGGGGCTGAGATGGCCACAGTGAGCAGGACCTACAGCCCCCCCAGCTCCAGGGAGCTCTGAGGGGAGCAGAGCCAGGAGTGAAGCACAACTGTGGCTGCCTCGTCCCTGGCAGTGTTCTGCCCATGGAGGTGAATGGGGGGGGGGGGGGGGGTTCCCCCATGTCTTGCGTCCTACACAGCTGCACCCCAGGGACCCCTCCCTGGTGTTTAGGGGTGTCCCTGTTTATGTGTGGGGGTATTTTAGGAAGGGGTCTGGTGATTTATGAGGGTTTGTGGTTGTATTTGAAGAGGGTCCTGGTATGGGGGGGCCTCGAGCTCTTCTGAGTCCTGATTTCCAACCCCCCCCCCCGGGAGGTACTCCCAGTGGGGTACTGTGGGAGTGGCGGCTCTGGAGAGCCCAGCTGTTTTTCTTTGGGGGGTTACATGGGTGGGAGGGGGCTTGGGAGTTCAGGAGTGGAACACCCCACCACCACCATGGACCACATTTGCCTCCTGCACCTATGGGTGGTCTGTGTGTGTGTGTGTGTGGGGGGGGGGTGTTGGGGTGTTACATGCCTCTGGGGATGAAGGGCAGGTGCTGGGGCTCCAGTTCGGGGGGGTGGGTCGTCCTGCGTTGGGGTGGGTGTGCGATGGTATCAGTCTGGGTACCACCCCCCCCAACCGCTATATCTGTTTCCATGGCAACGCACGTCCGCGGGTGGGGGTGGGTGTGAGGAGCCGCCCATTGGCTGCTGATGATGTCACCCTATTTTTGGGGTGGGGGTGGGGTGACCCCACCCATTTTTGGGGTGGGGGAGGGGAGCTCCGCCCTGCGTGGCCCCGCCCCTTCCTGGTCCCCGCCCGTTTAGTGGGGGGGCCCCACCCGGCACCGCCCCGGCGCGGGGCAGCGGCGGCTGCGGGATGCACCCGGAGGAGGCGCGGAGGACGGTGAGAGCCGGGGGGTGAAGGGGGGGCACACACGGGGGTGGGGGGGGGGGCCGGTCCCATGGTGCGTGGGTTCTTAAAAGGGCAATGCCAGCGGGCGGGGGAGGGGATTGGAAGCGTAAAGCCTGGGGCGGGGGAGGGGAGGAAGGGGTGGGAACCGCCCCACCCCCCTTGCACCGGGCCTGTGCGTGGTTCCCCCCCCCCCACCCCCCCCCCCCCCCCGCAATGGTCGCTTCCGGGGTGGGCCCCACCGCGCTCTTGGGAGGTCACAAGGGGGGAGGGTATTGGGGGGGGGGGGGGGGGCGCGACGTCGCGGCGCGCCCCGCCCCGCCCTTCCCTCCCCCCCACTCCGCTTCCCACGCCCTTTGCTCTTAAAGGGCCAGACACCCCCATCCCTAAATCCCACCCCCCCATTCCCGGTTTATTCACACGCAGGGAGGAAATCCCTCCGGGGGAACGGGATAGCGATGGGGTGTGACAGCACCCCCACCCCCCCAGCCCACCATTCACACCCATGGGTGGGGATAATGTACCCCCAGCGGGGGAAGGGGGGGGGGGGGGGGGCATAAGGACCATGCAGGAGGTTTTCCCACGACTTGACCCCCCATCCTCAAGGTGACCCCATGGTTTGGGGGTACCCCTATAAGGGGTTATAGGCTGGGAAAGAGGGCGTCGTTATTTATACCCCCGGGGGGGTGGGGGGGGTGTGTACAATAAAGGGAGTATAGCGGTCTCTCAGCCCCCCCTAACCCCCCACCTGGGTGGGGTTTGGGTGCGTCCTGGCTGAGTACAGAGGAATTCATGTCACTGATGAAAGCCCCATAGAGGGTGTGTGGGGGTGAGGCTGGATTAGAGGGGGCTTCGAGGCCACTCCCCCCCCCCATCCCCCACTGACACATCGCACTCTGTCCTCCAGCCCTATGGGGTTTTGGGGTGCCAGGATCCCCCAAAGTGAAGCTGGGGAGGGTTGGGGGGGGTTGTGTAAATTACCCTTTTGTGGGTTCCCCCCATAAATGGGCCTGGTTGAGCTGGGGGTCCTGGGGGTGTCCCCGGGGGTACCTGTGGGGGGGGGGGGGGTGTGTTTGGGGGGCCCTGGCTGAGTGGGGGTGTTTTGGGGCTCCCTCTTTGTAAGGGGGGTGTTTTGGGGGGTCCTGGTGATTTGTGAGTATTGGGGGGGTGCGTTTTGGGGGTCCCTGGCTTTGTGTGGGGACATTGGGGGTGCTCTTGGCTGGAGCAGGGCTGTCTGGGGGGGTGTGTCTTTTGCTCAGTGCATTTTGGGGGTCTCCAATTTGAGTATTTGGGTACCGGGGGGGGGGTCCCTCGTGATACGTATGTGTGGGGTGTATTTGGAGGGTGCCTGTTTGTGTTCAGGGGTCTTGGGGACCCTTGTCTAACAGTGGGGGTGTTTTTTTGGGGGTCTCTATTTGTATGTGGGGCATTTAGGGGGTCCTGGTGATTTATGAGTGTGGTGCGGTGCGTTTTGGGGACTCTTAGGTTTATGGGGAGGTATTGGGGGGTTTCTGCTGAGAGCAGGGCTGTTGGGGGGTGTCCTTTACCCCCTGTATTTTGGGGGTGTCCATTTGAATACGCGTGTATTGGGGGTGCCCCTGCCTTTGTGCGTGCGCACTGAGGGGGTCTCTTTGCTGAGAGCGGGGCTGTTGTGGAGGGGTGTCCTTTACTCAGTGCGTTTTGGGGGTCCCCGTTTGAATACCTGGGTATTGGGGGTGCCCCTGAACCCGGGGGGGGGGGGGGGGCCGGTGTCCCTGTCTCGGTGTGGGTCCGGTGCCCCCTGTCCCGGTGGGGGCTCCCCCCGCGCCGGCGGGTGTCCGTGTGCAGGGCGTGTGCGCTGGGTGTGCCCGGGGAGGGGCCGGGCGGGCCGCGCGGTGCAGCCGACGCTGAGCGCGGGGGCTCGCGGGCCCGGTCGGGGCTCACTCGGTGCGGGCGCAGGTAGGGGCAGGGGGAGAGCTCGGTGGTGGGGAGGGGGGGCAGTGGTGGGAGCGGGGGGGGGAAAGGAGAAGATGAGGCGCTGCGGGGGGGGGGGGGGTCCTGACCCGCGGGGCACCCCATGGACCGCCGGCACCGCGCGGGGGGGTGGTATATGTACCTGTATGTGTGTGTGTGCGTGTGTGTGTGTGTGTCCTAAAGGGTTGGGGTGCGCGGTGCCCCCGGTGAGTCCCGCGGGGCGCCCCCCCCTCCACGGTGGCAGGGCCCCTTTAAGGAGCTCCACCCCGGGCCGAGCCAGGGTGGGGCCGCGGGGCCCTTCACACCTCTCGGACCGGGAGCATGGTTCTGCCCCGGGAAGGGGGGGGGGGGGGAGGGGGGATGAGCACCGGGCCCCCCCCCGCGCGGTGAATTCCCCCCCTCATCATACACCGGGTGAAGGGGGGGGGGAACGGGTGTCGCGGCCCCTTTAAGGCCGCGGGGGAGGGAAGGGAGCGTGGTGGGGCCGCCACCGCCCCGCGGGGAGCACGCCCCCTCCCTCCCTTGCCCCGCCCCGCCCGGCCCTGAGGGGAGGGGCGGGGGCGCTCCGCGCGCGGGGAAGGAGGGGCGGGGCCGGGCGGCGGCACCACAAAGGCGGGCGAAGGGCGGGGCTTCCCTTTTCCGCCTTCGGCTCGCGGCGCGGCCGTCGTGAGGGGAGCGGGAGCCGCCATTGCTGCCCCCTGCCACAGCCGTGCCCGGTACCGCGAGTGCTGACCCCGCCATTGCTCACCCTGCCATTGCTGGCCCCGCCGCCGCCGCCATGCACGGCTGGGCCCCCGCTGGGGCTCCGCTCCGCTGGGTGGGATCCCCCGGAGGTGGCCGCCCTGCCCTCGCCCGCCGTACCTGTTTCCCCGCCGCCTCACGCAGTGTGTGGTTCTCCTGCAGGGCCGAGGGAGGACGACGCCCGCCATGAGCTCGTCGGCGCTGCTGGCCGAGGGCCCCCTCGACCCTCCGGTGCTGCTGGCGGACATCAAGACGGAGCCCCCCGAGGAGCTGCTGGCCAGCGACTGCGGCCAGCCCCAGGCGGAGCCCGTGGATCTCTCTCTCAACAAGTCCAAGGTGGCAGCAGCAACCTCCGCCCCCCCACCGCCGCCTCCTGTCTCGGTGCAGTCCTCCCCGTTGCTGGTGGCTCCTCCGCTCCCTGCTCCCGCCACCGTCTCCATCTCCCCCTCCGGGCTCAGCTCCACCTCGGCCATCCCAGCGGTGCTGTCGCCCGGCTCCATCCTGGCCTCCACGCAGGGCAGTGGTGGGCAGCAGATCCTCCACGTCATCCACACCATCCCCTCCGTCAACCTGCCCAGCAAGATGGGCAACCTGCAGACCATCCCCGTGGTGGTGCAGTCCCTCCCTGTCGTCTACACCACCATGCCCACCGATGGGGTCACCGCCATCACTGTGCCCCTCATAGGGGGGGACGGCAAGAACGCCGGGTCTGGTAAGCACATGTGGGGGGAAGCCAGAAACTTTTGGGAATCCCAGACTGGTTTGTGTTGGAAGGGTCCTTAAAGTTCATTCCAAAGCCTGCCATGGGCAGGGACACCTTCCACTAGAGCAGGTTGCTCCAAGCCCTGTCCATCCTGGCCTATAACACTGCCAGGGATGGGGCAGCCACAGCTTCTCTGGGTTGAAGTGGGGGTGTCCTAGTTCATGGAGCAGCACCCCTGAAGGGGATCTGATTTTTCCCTCACCCACACTTGCCATCTCCACCCAGAACCACCCCAGGGCCCTCAGCCCCCAGCCTGTTCCCCAGGGGGACACAGGGAGGGCAGGGGACACTTGGGGCATGGCACTGCCTGCCACCCATCCCGCTGCTGGCAGCCTGCCTGCCCTTCCCACTGCCTGCCTGCTGCCTGCCAGCAGCTCTGGTTTCAGTTCAGCTGCTTCCCCAGGCACCCTCTGTTCCCTTCCCCAGCACATTCCCAGCTTCCCACCTTATCCAGAGATGGGGGGGACAGACCTGGATCTCGCCTCCCAAGGGCAGGAGCAAGCAGCCAACAGCGGTGCCACCCAAGTCATGCCTCCCAGTATCTCTATGCTATATGGCATCAGTGGCTTATCCATTTCCCCAAGTTGGTTTTTGTGGGGGGAGCAGCATTTGGGGTGCTGTGGGAGCAGAGGGGGGGTTATTCTGGGGCAGGGGTGTGGTATGTTTTGGGATGTCTCTGTTGTTTGCTCACAGCCTCACCCCCTCCCTCCTTGTTTCTCAATAGCTTTTCTTTCCCGCCCCCCACCAGTGAAAATTGACCCGGGCTCCATGTACCCCATGGACATGAACAGCGACAGCGAGGACAGCGCCTCTGAGAGTGGCCCGGCCCCTTTCCAGGACCTCCAGAGAGAGTGAGTCCCTTTGTCTGTGTACCTTCCCACCTGTCCCCCCCTCCCTGGGCATCCCATGGGGTCTGTGGATGCCAGGGCCGTGCTTCCATCTCTGCCTCCTCCTGCAGGCCGGTGGCACGGGCACAGCGAGCAGAGTCCCCCGACCTGAAGAAGCGGCGCATCCACCAGTGCGACTTTGAGGGCTGCAATAAGGTTTACACCAAAAGCTCCCATCTCAAAGCTCACCGGCGGATACACACAGGTAGGGGACAATGCCAGACACCCCCCTGGCAGGCAGGGTCAGGATCAGTGCCTCCGCCTCCCTGTGGGCTGGCGGTACCCAGGGGTGGGCTGGGAGGATGATGATGGTCCCTGCGATGGAGAGGTCTTTAGGGGTGTTGGCTCCCTCTGCTAGAGCTGGGGATGGCCCTATAGAGGGCCATTTAGCCTTCAGAGCTTTTAGAGGGTTGTGGAGGCTCTTTGGGTTTGCTGTCAAGTGTTTGGAGGGGCTCATGAGGCTTTAGGAGAGCTGGCAGCCTGTTTCAGGGGTTAGGGGGCCCTTTGGTGATGCTGTCACCCTGTGCCAGTGACTGGGGGCATCCTTTGTGGATGCTGGCACATTTTGCCAGGGACTTGTGAGGCCCTTTGGGGTCTGGAGACCCCCTTTTGGGCACTGGAACCCTCTTATAGTAGCTGTGGGGGCCCTTTGTGGGTACTGGCACCTCCTGCCAGGGGGGTTGCGGAAGCCCTTTGAGGTCACTTTGGGAGTATTGCAGGCCTTGGGGGTGCTTGTGCTCTGTGCTGATTCTTTGGGAGTGCTGGGACCCAAGGCCATGTCTCGGGGACCCTCTTGCCCCCACCCCCTGCCTGGTTATGGGGCTCTCCCTTGGGTGACCCTGCCGGGACTCCCTCTTCCTTCTCTTCCCTTTCAAGCACCCTGGGTCCCTTTGCCTGGGGGATGTTCCCAGTGCCCCCAACATGTGCTCAGCACCCCCCAGGACCCCAGGCTCTGCTCTGCAGTGCTGCTGTGTTCAGTCCCGGTGAGGACAGTGGGGTGCTGCCAGTAGAGTTGCATGGGGGTGCCACCATCAGCCCCATGGTGTCACAAGGTGATGCCGTAGGGGTGTGTATGGGGTGTGCACCCCAAAGCACCGCCTCTGCTCTCGCTGGCGGCGCGGGTGTGGTGCGGTTACACCTAAAGCAGCACTCGCACAGCCGGTGGCGCCAGTGAACCGTGCTGGGCCAGCAGCAGGGCTGGCGAGGGATGATGAGGGGGTTGCTTGGCTCCAGGGGGCATTCCTGCCTTGCTGAGCCCCTCTCTGCTCCCCCGGCGCAGGCGAGAAGCCGTACAAATGTACCTGGGAAGGATGCACCTGGAAGTTCGCCCGCTCCGACGAGCTGACCCGGCACTTCCGCAAGCACACGGGCATCAAACCCTTCCGCTGCTCGGACTGCGACCGCAGCTTCTCCCGCTCTGACCACCTTGCCCTGCACCGCCGGCGGCACATCATGATGTGAGGAGCCCCCATCCCCGGGGCTGGGACTGAGGGGAAAGTGGTGGAAAATGGGGGTGCATCCCCCCCTGCTCCTCTGTGTGCGATGGAAGAACTGCAGGAGCAGAGAGGCCGAAGTCTGCCTGGTAGAGAGAGAACTGTGGCAGCTTCAGGACCCCCGCTGACACAAGATGCACAATGGTGGCTTCCAGACTGATCCTCCTCCTCCTGTGCTCCTGTTTCTTTTTCCTGGCCTTCTCCCCACCTACAACATCCAGAGGCTCCTCCTTGACTCGTCACCCAGGATTCACCCAGCAGTTGCCTCTAGACCTGCACATCGACCTCTTGCCCTCTTCCACCTCATGTGCTTGCTGTCCTTGCCCCTCTCCCAGTCGCTGTGAGCAAAACCTGGAAACCATGGCAAGGACAGAGGTGAGGGCTCTGCTATTGGCCCTGTGCAGTAGCCACTTTCCTGAAAGTTGCTGCCTTTCCATTCCTAGCCGCTATGTGTCCCTGTCCCAGCAGGAGAAGGGACGTGGCCCGTCGCCTCTCTGCATCTCTTGGCATGTGCTGGGCTTCAGCGGAGGTGCCCAGGGGCACGCAGGAACAGAAAAAGCAAGAAAGGGGAGGAAAATCCACCACAACAACCCAACATCACCCCCCAAATGAGATTGCCACCACCAAACACAAAGGGAAACTGCGGAACGTTGAACTGTGATTTTATGGAGTTTTAAAGGGGGTGGGATGGGGGGCGCTGCAGCATTTGGGGTTTTTTTTTGAAGACTATGGGACACTTGAACCATTTCTAAGTTAAAAAGGCAGACTGTGGCCATACACTTTGGTTTTTAATTGTAATTATTATTTCTGTGGGGTGCCCCTTTCCCAGTTTCATTCCTCCCCCCCACCCCAGTCTGGGAGGTATCAGGATTTCTGATTGGAACCTTGGGGCATTTGGGTGGTGGGAAGGGTGCTGGGGGGCCATGAGCCCCCTCTCCCAACCCAGTGCCGGTGGGGCTGCTTGGGGCAGGGGGAGCTTCCCAGAAGCTCACTTTGAGCCTGTGCCTTTGGTTTGGGGGGTGCTGGGCTGCTTGGGGGGTGGTGGTGGTGGGTGCAGGGGCCTATGGCCCCTGAAGAGGACTCTGGTGGATGCCTGGGAAACTTCCCTGCTTTCCACCTTCCAAGAATGTTCCATGGGGCAGAGTTTGTCCCTGACCTCATGGTGTCCCCAACCCTTTTGGGGCTCAGCACAGCTGGAGGGTGTGTCCAGCTGTGGCTGGTCACAAGTAGTATCCCCAGGGTGGGTTTTGTAATGCCTTTATCAAGGCTGGATCGGTGGGCTGAGGCCAGTTGAGCTTAAACAAAGTCAAGTGTTAGGTTCTGCACTTGACTCACCACAACCCCACACAATGCTCCAGACTTATGGAAGAGTGACTGGAAAGCTGCTCATGGAAAAGGGTCTGGGGGTGCTGATTGATGGAGCAGAACATAAGCCTGTGCCCAGGCAGCCAAGAAGCCACCAGCATCCTGGCCTATGTCAGCACCAGTGTGGCAGCAGGGCCAGGGCAGTGATTGTGCCCCTGCACTGGGCACTGGTGAGGCTGCACCTCAAATCCTGTGTTCAGTTCTGGGCCCTTCACTACAAGAGACATTGAGGTGCTGGAGCAGGGCCAGAGAAGGGTACCAGAGCTGGTGCAGGGCCTGGAGCACAAGTGTGATGGGGAATGGCTGAGCGACCTGGGGAGTTTACAACTACCTGGAAGGAGAACGGAGCCAGGAGGGGGCTGGTCTCTGCTCCCAAGGAACAAGCGATAGGACAGCAGAAATGGCCTCAAGTTGCACCAGGATAGGCTTAGGCTGCATATTGGAAACGTTTCTTCATGGAAAGGGTTGTCAAGCGCTGGAAGAGGCTGCCCAAAGACGTGGTGGAGTCACCATCCCTGGAGGTGTTTAACAGATGTGTAGATGTGGCACTTAGTGACGTGGTTCAGTGGTGGCCTCGGCACTACTGGGTTCATGTTGGACTCGGTGATCTTGAAAATCTTTTCCAACCTAAATGATTCTACAGTCTCTGCGTTCCTGTCCCACCATGTGTCCCCTCTCTCAAAGCCATGCTCACCAGAGCTTCTCCTGGGGCTGCACCTGATGTTCTTCCTTCATCTTCAGCCCCAGATCCTCACAGGAAGGCAAGGGAGGCTGGGAAAACCCTTGGGATTCAGGGTCAGCACTGCTGGTGGCCCCCACAGCCAGGGGCTCCACCCTCACCCCACTCTCCAAGCCCCGGGGCAAGCATGTGTGTGTGTTTCTGTTTTCTATTTGGTTGTTAAACCCAAACAAGGGATTTTAAACTCGTGAGCTGTGATATTTATACAAAACTCTTTGAGGTCTTTTCTACACAGGAATAACATGGAAAGTAGCCGAGTTCCTCTGTGTGTATCTTGCTTTGCTGCAGCCGTGGGGCAGGGAGAGGGACCAGGGCATGATGAGGGCAGTGGAGCCCTCCTGCCTCCCCCGTGCCAGGAGGAGAGGGGCTGAGCTCAGCAAAACGATGGTTTCTTGGGCTAGTTTTCCCAGAAACTGAAGAGATTTCAGAGCTGTGGAAAAAACATGGATTTTCCTTCCTTTTGAACATCTCCAGTGGGATATTCACCGGCCATGGCCTGTGTTTGGCTTCAGCAGCGACCTGTGATGCCCTGAGCTCCCTTGAGGTGAGACCCCAACCCACCTCCTGAGCTGGGGAAGGGGATGACAACCCCCTTTGAGGTGGTGGTAAAGGGGTTTGTGGTCCCACACCACACCCGGACCTGAAGAGGTGCTAAACCCCCCCTGAAATCCTGCTGTGCCTCCTGTGATCCACCGGCTTGTTAAAGTGATGTTTTAGAAGGCAAAAATGGCATTTTAAAGGCAAAAATTGCATTTTTTAACACAAAAATTACTTTTAAAGTGGCTTGGCTGAATACTCCCCAAGTATCTGGGAGGAGATGATGGTTTTCCAGGGAGACATGTTGCTCCAGAGCTGTTGTGGAAGTGGCTTGAGCAGACTAGCTGCTTTCCTGATGGCTGCTTCAGTTTGCCATTGGAAGAACAAAGTGCAACAGCAACAAGAAGAGGCAAAAAGAAAACCCCCAAAGCAACCCACGGTAATGGTGTTTGTTGGGTGAGGTTTTGGCCTTTGCAGCTCAGTCCTGGGTCTGTTTATGCCTGTTTTGTAGGGGAGCCCCATGATGAGGCTGGAGCAGAGATCCAGGAATCCTTGCTTGCAGGTGCTGGAGCACCAGGGTGCTGCTTCCATAGGGAAACACCTTCCTGTGAGTGAAAATCTTCTGGCAAAGGTGTCTTGGAAGTGCTGGGCTTTGGCTCTGCAGTGTCCTGTGCTGGTTTTCTCCCAAGTTAACAAAGGGAACAAGGGAATTCGGGTGTTCCCATGTGGGGACGCTGCTCATGATGAGTGCTGAGGCCTGGCAGGGGAGAACTTGCTGCACTGATGATGGAACACCTCCGGGTGGCACACAGCACCCATGTGTCCCCATGTCACCCCTCCCAGCCACGGCTTTGTCTTACCCCAAGAGGAAACCTGAGTTGGCAACTGGCATAGAACCACAGCCTGGTTTGAGTTGGAAGGGACCTTAAAGATTACACAGTTCCAACCCCTGCCACGGGCAGGGACACCTTCCACTAGAGCAGGTTGCTCCAAGCCCCTGTGTCCAACCTGGCCTTGAACACTGCCAGGGATGGGGCAGCCACAGCTTCTGCCCAGGATTTCATCTCAGTCTCCCCTCTGGCAGTGAATGTTCACCCTGGTTATGGGGGAGATGGGGGTGTCTCTGCCACCCCGCAATTCATGCAGAGCTGCTTCCCCACCCATCATGGCCTGAGGACATCCTGCAGTATCTGGGGTGATGCTCTTGTACCCCTCTAAGGGAGCCCTGCCCTGAACTTGCACCACTGCCAAATGAGCTATTCTTACTGAGTGGTACTCCTGAGGTAAGCAAACATCCCTTCTGCCAGCCCTTGGCCTTGCCATCACTGATGGGTGAGTTGGGAAGCCCCTGGACCACTGCTCCCCACGCTGCACCCCTTCATGTCTCCCACCCCCATGGTCTGTCTGGCTCTGATTTCATCCCCTTTGTCTTTTCTCCTGCTTCTAGGAGATCTTTGGGGTGCTGAACCTCAGCATCCACCATTCCCTCAGCAGGACACAGCCGTACAGGGGGGTAGGCAGGGGTGAAGCCCCCAGGTCTTGGGAGTTGTGGGGTCATGCATGTTGGGGTCACACAGGGTCCTGTGTCACACATGTGGCAGAGGGACATCAGCCCTCTTTCCAGCATGGGCATCACCCTGCTGTTGAAGAAGATGCTGAGGTCCTGCTGGAAGGGCAGTGGGGTGCTAACCCCTGTCATGGGCTGATACCATCACCCCACACTCCTGAGCCCAGGAGCCTATTTCAGCTCAGCCTCATCCCTCTTTGCTCCAGGATCACCCGAGGTTCCTCCGCATGGTTTCTTGTCCCTGTCCCACTCCCCTTGTGCCAGACAGGGGGTGCCGGGGGCCTCCTGCCTGCTCCCGGCACTGCTCAGACTGGTTTAGCAAGTGGATGGGGCGGCAGCTCTGCCTTTGAAGGGTTCCCAGGAAGGGTTTGATGGCTGGAAACCTCCCAAAGAGCAGAAAGGGAAAGACAGAAATGGGTGGTTTTGGGTTTCGGGAGTGGGGGGGGGGGAGCAGAGGCAGTTCCGGCGGCTTTGCAGACCTTTGTCTCCTGGAGGTGGTGGTGAAAGGGAAGCGGAGGGGGTGTCCCCCTTCCCTGCCGAGTGAGTATCTCACATCAGGCTCCTCACCAGCACCGAGGCTAAGCCGGGAGCTCCTGGCCCACATCTGGAGTGGCCTGACCCCAGGGAGGCAGATTCAGAGGGGACTTGGGGATGTCCATCATGGGGCAGCGAGAGGTGGGTGCTGCAGCCCCTGCTTCAGGGTGGATGGATGAGTCTGGGGGGTCAGCAGGGTGAGGAGGAGCTGCTGCAGGGGGAAAGCAAAGGCTCAGTGACCTCCTGGCAGGGTCTGGGCCCCCTTCCCCTGCCTCATGTACGTGCCACCACCTCCTTGGTGGGACCATGGGCTGTCACCCATGCTTGGTGGCTCCTGGGGGGCTCTCCTGTGGCCCAGTCCAGTGGTGGCTGTGAGGTTTGAGGATGGG